TAGCTCTTCGAGCTTGTCGGAGTTAGACAACAAGAATCAACAAGGTAGGTTTCTGTTTTTGCTTTCAGGATTAGTTACATTGTTGGTCTTAGACTCTGATTAGCGAATTCGTCATTGAACTTGAGTCGAAATGTTGCAGAATGAGTGAATGTGAAATTATGAAGAACTTTGATTTGTAGTTACAATGCTGGTCTTAAGACTCCATTCCACATTACATTGCTGGTCTTAAAACTGATAGTGTCTGTAGGATCATCAAACAGTTGCGGTGACGAAAGAAGCCCGAAAATCACGACGGGATGTTCATCGAACAGTGGAAGCCAAGGAACAGAGAAACTGAGTGGGACAAGAGCTAACAAAGCGAATGAGAGTGAAAATAAGAAAGGAGTGAGAAGAGAGGACTCGGTGGATAGGAAAGGCAAAGGGATGATGGCTACAACTACTGGTTTGTTCGACATGCCGTGTGTGTTTACTAAAGGGGACGGGCCAAACGGAAGACGTGTTGACGGGATTCTATACAAGTACGGAAAAGGAGAGGAAGTGCGGATAATGTGCATTTGCCATGGGAGTTTCTTGACACCCGCCGAGTTTGTTAAACACGGTGGCGGAGGAGATGTGGATCGTCCCCTTCGGCATATCGTTGTCAACACTTCATCTTCGACGTTTTGAATAGAAGATTCAGTGAAAAAAACTGGAATGGGTCTTTTCTTCTTGTTTCATCTTATTGTTGTTTTTTTCTTTTTAATCTTTTGAATTACCGCTTAGTTTGGCTTTCAAGAATGAAATGCCAAATCTCAATCTTGATGGTGATGATGAAGATCAAGATTCTCATGTTTTTATACTTTGAGAACATCAAATGATTCTTGCTCGAGCACTGTGAAACTTTTGCTAGAGGCCCACCAAGTAAAGATGAATTGGGAACTTCAGTATTTCAAGAACAGAACTTTGTTTCTGAAACTTGTTTTGTCAGTACGTATAACTGATGTGTACTCACTACAACAGTTTTAACAAAATGAACACTTGACCATTTTAACCATAGGAAGAAGTTGCAAGATTCTTATGAAGCAAGGGTTGTTGCAGGGCAACTATCAACAGCACAAGCCAAGACGTCTAATCTCTTGATATCGTGAATGAATCATGGACTCGTCCGTCGCTGCTCTTCTTGTATTCGAATAGAAGATTAGAGTGATCGAACGCGGTGAGTTTAAGGAATCCGTAGTCGTAATCTCTGAACAGACTCCAATTCGGTTGCAGATCGGAGAATTCAGCAAGACCAGCTCCTCCACCTCCAGCAACAATGTGGATTGTCCCGTTCAACGGACCATTGTAGTTGCTCTTCTCATGACTCGTGCATACACTCTACAATGGAATAAAGCAATTAGAACAATGGAATGGTTCCGTTTTTCAAGAATCATTCTTCGATATGCTCGTAGATGTGTATATTTTACCTGGTATACCGGGCAGGTTCTCTCGTAGTTATGTGCATGGCCATAGACTGCAATGTCGACTTTGTACTTCTGCCAGAGCTTTTGAAGGCTGTCTCTTCCCATTGGTTCAGCGAAAGAGCCTTCTTCTGCGTAGAACGATGTGGAGGAATAACCGAGCACACGATGAGCTAAGAATATCAGCCAAGGCTGTTTTTTTCTGTCGACTGATGCTAAGCAGTGTTCAATGAAGTTGTATTGCTCTGTTCCTTCTCTCCAGTCGTGTTCTGTGTCAGCCACGCAGAACCTAAACATTCCGTAGTCACTCGAGTACCAAAAATTGGCTCCGTTTTGAGCAGGAACATAGAACGTTGTCTCAGCTGGTACACCGCATTCACCTCCAGAGTCTAAACCCTGGTAAAACGATCCTGAGTTTGGCCAGTCACGCTCATGGTTTCCACTGCACAGAGTGAATTTTCGGGACTCGGTTAAACAAGAAAGCCAACAACTTTGTCAAAGAAAGAAAGAAAGGCAAAACCTTGCAATCATGTATGGAACAGTGGAAGCAATCGGTTCAATCTGCGCGGTGAATTGGTCCCATTGCGAAAGGTACCCGTTTGCATAACAGATATCTCCAATGTGGAACACTGCATCAGTCTTGTTTAGATCTTTAATAAGTTGCTTTGTGGTGTTGAGAGAAGCGCGTTGGAAATCGTTGTACTCGTTTGAGCCATCAACCTCAGCCTGCAAGAGAGCACAAGAAAGATATGATTGTGGATTTGAGAGTACAACAGTAAACAATCTGATATTGATTTTTAGACTAAAAGATCAAACCTTTCCCATGTCTCCAAAGATAACAACATGTTGGAGAGATTCTTGGCCCGGAAAAGGTGAAGATTTGAATTGATACTCTTTACTCCAGATGAATGTACCATTGGACAATCTATGCCCAACTCTGTATGTATACCTATATAATAACCAAATCAAAGCTCAGTGATTCATATACATCAGATTCTTCCATAAAGTTGGAAGATTGGTTCAAAACAAGAAAAGACATACTTGGAATTAGGCCATAACTCTTTGAGAAAAGCTGTGTGTATGTATCCGGGATCACGCCATCCAACCGTTCTTGCAGGAGCACCGCACATGCTGTAACGCCCGAAGGTCAATGTCCCAGCAGGTGAGAGTTTACGCTCTCTTCCTTTAATGCCCCACTCAACGACAGGTTCAGCTATGTCAAGGCCATAACCACTAGTCCATGTCACTGTCATCTATTTATAAACCAAGTTTTACTTCTTTGAGTCAGTACAACAGAAAGAATCACCAAGCAGGTTTTTTTAGAATCTTACTTCATCCCATTCTTTGCCTAGTGCTAATCGCGGATAAACTGGTGCCTTTGGATTCTCAAAGGCTACTTTGTTTGAGATTGCCACAAGCTTTGGCTATCACACAAAGAAAACATAAAACAAAGGAATGGTTAAAGATGAAGCTAAGAGAAGTTGTGTGTGAAACTAGAGTGTTACATTCAACAATCCGCCAGAAAAGAGCGCAAAGGAGAAATCCGATCTCTGGTTGATCAGCTGAAGCTTCAAGGAACCGATCCCGGTACTATTGTACCTTGGATAACTATAGTTTGCATACTGAAACTGTAATGAGAAAAGGAGGGAAAAGCTTAAGACTTGCTGCAGAGAAGCAAAGCAGAAACAATGGTGAATCATGATGCTATGAGAAAACAAAAGAACCTTGACAGGAGCGGAACAAAGTAGAGGTGGATTCACCATTTTGTTATCTCCTTGACAAGTCGATGCACTGTAGGAACAACAACAAAAGAGTTAAAAAAGACTCTTATTTTCATTCAATCTAAGAACTAATTTTGATGAGAATGAATGTGTTGAAACTACTTGAAATCAGCAGGAGAAAACACTCCAATCCAATCATCATCTGATGGTTTCGGATTACTATATTCGACCAGCACAAATTCACTATGTCGACCCTTCACAAGAAAAAAGCAATGAAGTAGTTTAGCATTTCATCAAACAAAAAACTATGAAAAAGATCTGATAACAAAGAAGAAGAAGAGAGAATGGTTATTACATTAGATCCAAGAACTGTTGGAGAGGCTTTGACATAAGCTTTTACATTGAGATGAAATGTTGTTTTATGGATAGCAATTCCAGATAAAGGTTGGTCTTTATGAGATTCCACTTCTTGAATTGTTCCAAGAACTAATACTACAACAACAGTCACCACCAAGATTGCAACATGTTGTTCTTCTCTCATGTCTTAAAACACACAAATGAAACCAGACACAAGTGAGCAGAAATCGGACAACACTTTGGTAAATACCACAATAATATCAAATTCAAGAAATCTAGCAATTGTGGATTGATGAAACAGAGGAATGATTACCAGTAACTTCG